ATATATATATATATATATATATATATACATATATATATATACATATATATACATATATATATATTTATTATATTATATTACGCGACGGTTTTAGTTGTATGTAAGCTAGATTTTCGTTTCGGCTCTAACGGTTGAATTGACGAAGTTCTGGAGGGACTTAGTCGATTCCTTGAGTTTATATTATATCATAAACTGCCTTTATTTTTGCTCTATGTGGAAGCTGAGCTATTTTTATTAATATTACCATAGAAGGGGAGGAGGGCATACTAGGTGGCGGCGGGACGCCGTGCGTTCGAGGTCTGCGTATCTTTTTCGTTCCAGAAAGAGAAAAATATCGAGAGCGCGGTCCTGCTAGACCGGGATTTGAACCCGGGTCTTTCGCTTGTCGGGCGACTGCTCTAAACTACTGGGCTACCTGACGCTCCACGCTCACGACACTCTCTCCTTCCTAGATAACGCTTAGAGATGCCGTTCGGAAGCGACATCTCTGGCGCGATCCCGAGACATACATATATAATTTATATATATATATATATAATATATATATATATATATATATATATATAGTATATATATATATATGTACACACACACACACACACGCGTGTGCGTGCATGCGTGCGTGCGTGCGCGCGTGTGTGGTGTGTGTGTGTGTGTGTACATATATATATATATATAGTATATATATATATATGTACACACACACACACACACGCGTGTGCGTGCATGCGTGCGTGCGTGCGCGCGTGTGTGGTGTGTGTGTGTGTGTGTACATATATATATATATATAGTATATATATATATATGTACACACACACACACACACGCGTGTGCGTGCATGCGTGCGTGCGTGCGCGCGTGTGTGGTGTGTGTGTGTGTGTGTGTGTGTGAGGGCGTGTAACACGGTAGGCCGCCAATGCTTCGCACTTATACCTGGCTTCGTGACACTACCATGTCGCATGATTTAGCGAAAGGTTTTCTCTTGTCAAAATCGAATTTATCGTAGTATTATTATATCACGAGAATAATCTTGCATATTGAAGAATTGCTCAACGGTAAAACCGATGAAAATTCTCTTGGGTCAAACAGATATAGGCTGTAGATTTTACTGACATAGCTGAATTATTAATCTTGATATGCTGGGTTTCAATAATTAATCCTGACCTTTTTTGTATTATATTCAAATGGTAAGGCGTGTGACATTCTATTAGATTAAATTATGTATCATTATACGCCCGGAAACCATTTCCATCGACACTGATTACAAATTTGATTACCGATTGTGACTTTATTCGAGTCGATATTAAAACATAGAAGAAGAAAACAGAAAAAGAGAAACAAAGAGAGAACGTGAACTTCTGCACAAAGCCCGTATCAGACTACCGATTGCACAGGCCGACCCGACTGCCGACTACGACTGCCGACTCTCAATGGATCAAACACAGTGAGGCGCCGACTCGGCCTGTGCAGTCGGTAGTCTGATACAGGCTTAAGAGATATGGAAATGAAATGCATCAATATGCAAAAGTTCGTATCCTTTGAACAGTATTTATGCTTATACTTAATAAGTCATTTTCATCGAGTGAGATCTTGTGTTCAACGTTTGAATTTGATCAGACATTTATTCGTCGTTAGGAAAGAAGCACCATAATTTTCTTGCCGTATCGACTGTCGTGTTATTTATATGAAAGTCATATTATTCGTGCTTTAATCACAAATAGGTCGTTCTTAACAATTAAAATCCTCTTGAGGAAAATATTACGACTTTTCTATCCTACGTTTTTCTCCGAAAGGGTTTATTTCTTCTTGTACTTATTTATCATCGCTGTTTGCTCAAATATAAAGATGGATATGGCGCAATTGTCTATACCGGGCTTCTTCGCCGGCCGAAGCATTTTCGTAACAGGTGCAACGGGCTATATGGGTAAGGTATGTAAAACATTTTTATGTTTCTCGCGGTTAAGAGAGTGAATATGAGACACAAATGTAGGAGGAATGGAGGAGAGAGATGGTGTAAGTTGAGTTGACGAGGGGAAAATGACTGTATTGTAAGAGAGTAAAATCTGAATATTTTGTTAAAAAGTGTTAATAACCCCTTATACTCATTTACAAATTGTTTTAAAGGTGTTAGTCGAAAAACTATTAAGATCTTGCCCCGATGTCAAGGAAATATTTCTGCTAATGCGACCTAAAACGGGAATGGGAGTCGATGATAGACTGAAGAATTTATTAGTTAATAAGGTAATAAGGTTCAGAACAAATCGTGCGCGTAAAGTCACATATATGTAACGCAACGATATCTCACTAAAGGCCACCGTTATATATGTACGTGTAACGGCAATAATTTTTTTTATGTTCACATTATCAAACTAAGTCCATCTTACACAATTACGTAAAAAAAGAAAAACATTGATATAATTTCTGGAGAAAGTTCTTTAAATAAACCGTTAGAACGTGTTAAAGAAATTCTAGCAGTCCGGTGAGCGCATACGTTTGTCTGATAGATCTGTTTAGATCTCTCAAACTACTCAATCTTCTAAATTTTCTCATTTTTCTGAACTTCGAGACTTCGTGAAGTAATAACGAAAAAAATTGCAACGAACAATGAGAGATATCAGCTTTTGTTCTGCTTTGCAACTGTTATAAAATTTATGAATCAAATTTGTTTGGATATGCCCTTAAGTTCATTCAAGATTACGAGTAAGTATTCATAAGATTCACCAATTTTACACAAACAGTTACAAAACAATCATTTCTATTGAATGAACTCATTGCCTCTTAATGATCGTCAGTTTCTGTTATAGCTGTTCGATAAACTACGGAATGAGCGACCATCCAGTTTTGAAAAACTTGTTCCTGTGGCAGGAGATATATATGTTGAGGGCTTAGCATTGTTGCCTGTAGATAGACAAATGCTAATTGATAGAGTGTCAGTTATATTCCACGGTGCGGCGAACGTGAGATTCGACCAATCTTTGAAGAATGCGATTTTTGCCAACACCCGATCAACACGGGACTTGTGTATCTTGGCTAGCAGCATGAAAAATTTAACGGTTGGTTTTCTCTCGTCAAAATCGAATTTATCGCAGCGTCATATCACGAGAATAAACATATATCGATTAGTTATAAGTATCTTTCTACTTTATTTAAGTACGCGTGGCAATCTATTAGAATAGAATTAGAATATTATGTATTATAGTGCGAAAAGAATAGAATAGAATTAGAATATGTATTATTGCGCGATCGGGAAACATTTCCATCGACACTGACTACAAACTTTGTTACCGATTGCGATTTTATTTGAATCGATATCGAAATATAAAAGAAGAAAATAAAGAGAGAGAGAGAGAGAGAGAGAGAGAGAGAGAGAGAGAGAGAGAGAGAGAACACAAATATGGAGTTACAAGTACGCTAATTACGTGAATGATTCGAAAGGTCTTTGTGCACATTAGCACGGCATATTGTCAAATTGACAAACACGTTATCGACGAGATTCTATATCCCACGGATATCGATTGGAGGCGAGCGATCGAGGTTGCCGAGTCCGCCGACGAATACGTCCTGAAAATACTGACAATGAAGTAAGTTACCAGAGCGAAGTCTCGCGTAAATCAGACCCCATTCATCGTCACCTTCAAAATACATTCGCGAGTATTTACAGATTCATGCGAGCGATGCCAAACACCTACGTCTTCTCGAAAATGTTGGCGGAGCAAGTAATAACCGATTATTCCGACTTGTTGCCCTGCGTTATCGTGCGACCAACGCAGGTTTTATCGATGATGGATGAAGAACCCATGAAAGGTTGGTTAGACAACTTTAATGGACCAGTGGGTTTGACGTTCGGAGCTGCCATGGGTATCTTGCGTGTATGTTACTGCAATCCAAATGGAAAAGGCGATTACGTACCAGTAGATTGGGCTATCAAAACATTGATAATAACAGCCTGGAAACGTGGAATTAAAACGTATGTCCGATACTTATGATAATTGAAAAATAAGCGAGTCAATAATATACGCTTCATAAGCTCGACGAGTAGACGGCAGTGATGATTAGAATATTAGAAACTGTATCTTCGGAATTTCTTAGGGCTGCTATTAATAGACGTTACTTAAAATTCCTTACAACTGATAAATATTTAGGCTCGTATTAATAGTCGTTGAACTTGAAATCTTTCTTACGTGAAATATTCAATTCTGAATTTAGAGATAGATAAGAGTTTTTTTTTTCAATTATATAATATATGTGACATTACATTTGCAATCGCAATTTAACTGAAAAATGCAAGTCTAACTCTATATTGAAATCTGAACAAGTCTTACAGAAAACAAGTTTCAGGTAACGACTATCGGTATGGACTTTAGTCCCGCGAGCTCGAAACTTGCTAACCGGGATCGTGCAAACGTAATTTTTACATGATATCACATCAGTTACTTAGCGTAAGCTTTCATAGAATGTATCTTCTGATTCAGCATCTCCGAGGATAAAACGGTTCATGTTTACAACTCCTTGTTAATTAAACATCTGACAACAAAGGAAATTCATAAGCTAATTTTCGAGATTTTGCAAGAATTTCCTATTGATGGAATGATTTGGCTGCCAACTGTTACGTTAACAAATCGTCGTTGGTTATATTACATTTTGATGGTGCTGCTGCATATCCTCCCGTCGATATTCATAGACAGTGTCCTGAAATTGTCCAGAGCAAAACCAATGTAAGACTGATTTCTACACAATTTTGTGTTTTAAGTGTTAGTGTACTGCAAAATGTGTGGCGTTAATAGATTAGCTATGCGAAGTATATATTTTACATATTTTAACGCGTTTTTGTTTTTATTGTTCTTAAAGATGTTTTGTCGATGTTGAAGAGAGCGCGTACAAGTTCGAAATATTTCCTAATAATACACAATGCGTTTTTCTGGCAATGACTCTTAAACACTATATATCTTGCGCTAGTCCGAATTACATATCTAATTTTCTGAAATGAAATCGTGTATATAAGGACAATGTAGGGCTCTTAGTTATTAAACATTAGAAAGATATTCAGCAGAACACTTGATTTCCAGGTTATTTAAGTTACAAAGGAGAGTGTACGTTACGAACAGTGCCTTAACGCACATTGCATTAAACGAATGGGTTTTTAAAAACTCGAAATGCTTAGATGTATTTGACACGCTTAGTGCTGAAAATAAAGATTTCAGAGTAAACTGCGACTTACGACAGGACGACTTATGGGAATATTACAAGTAACTATATTTATAACTAGTTACAGATGAAATCATGATCTGTTTTTCTGCATTTATGTCTATCTGATTTATCTGTAACACTTGCTTCCAGAAACTTAATTATTGGTGGAAAAATTTACTTACTAAATGAAGACATGAATAACCTGGCAGCAGCCAAAAGAAAACGCAAGAGGTGAATTGACCTTATGGAGTAAATAGTTCTTAGCTTCCTACCGGTGAAACTTTTCATATGTTATACGCGATTTTTCTTTCTTTCGATAAAGTATTGACGCATTGGTAGTATTTCAGATACAAACAATTAAAAGCGTAAAACTTTTATTGTTACAAATTTCGAGTAAAACGGATTATCTGTAATGCCCGAAAATCCAACATAATATCATACAAGCTACACTCACATATACAAATACACACTAGACGTAACATGAAAAGATCACTCACAATGTTATAAGGTCGAAGAAATTGTCAAAACAAACGGAGGAATTAAGGAGAGTTGTCGAACAAAAATGCGAAGTTATTACGTGCATTGTTTGGTTGATAATAACGTCGTCAGTAGAAAATTAGGTCGTAACGTGGAAGCACACTGGCTACCGGTGAAAATTTTGCGTGAATTGTAACATGGATCAGGCTATTTTCAGAACTTTGTTAGTTTTAGTTTTACTCATAAGGACCAGATGCTTTTTATGATATTTCTTTCCATTTGCGTTCATTTTGCGAGTACAAAATATATTTTCAGAGATGGCGGGCATCTTCCTAGATAGCCCGCGAATTTCGATATCTTTTCTTTCTTTTAGGTTTTTCTATTTTCCTTCTGTCTCGTTTTACAACTTATTATAATTATAAACGTGTAACAGAACATATTATAGAAACGGTCGTGACGCGAGTGTAACGCATCTACAATCGCTAATTTTTACGTGCGAGATTGACGTCACAAGATCCGACGCAGAATTCCTCTTGCAAGCTTGGTGAGATATTAAAAATAAGAATCCGATAAGGATCTAATATCATATATCAGGTTTTCTTGTTTCACGTGTACATTATTGCGTTGCTAAATATAAGATTCTCGCCTGCTTTTTTACATTTCTGCTAATAATCAGTTTTATTATAGTCGCGTACTCTCCCTGCGATTGCTTGTTTGCATTTTATGCATTTTATGCACTTAGACAACCTGACATGTATACATACAGACGGGAATTCTTCGCCGCGAGGCTTCTCGCTCTTATTCTCTGTTATTACCAGCGACTGTAAATGACAACATAATATAAAAAAAATGTGTCGTGTTGTATCGCTGGCGCTAAAAATGTCAAGATTTGGGATCAGAGCAAAAAAGGAACCACAGAATTAGATGTAGATGAAAATAATTTACGAAAAGTTTACGTCGAGAGCTAATCACGCGTAACGACGCAACACGGCATCCTTTATCACCACATAGGCGAGATCTGTCTATTTACTATATGCATGACACGCTAATTCACTTATTATAAACTTCTTCATTAATTTTCTTTGTATAATACGACGAGGATCTACGTCAACTGATCGTAATTATTATAAGTATGATCGATACTCTCTGTTTTATGCGAAGAGCTTATCTTTTCCTCCCCTTCCGAGTTCGACGAATTTGAGTCGGTATTCCTTATAGAAATGTGTAATCAACTTTATATTATGCTAGACACTTATTATGTAATGCGCACCTGTCCTAGAATTCCTTGGGACTTCGCGCAAATCGGCAAATTTATTCAAACTTTGAAATTAGTAACCTGCGCCTGATAGATTGCTCTGGAAAGATATTCTCACTTTCTCTCTCTCTCTCTCTCTCTCTCTCTCTCTCTCTCTCTCTCTCTCTCTCTCTCTCTC